CGCGAGCCCGATTTCACACTGATTTTCCTTCTTGTTGGGTGGTGAATTTTCGATATGAACATAAAAAAAAAGCGATCACATTTTTCCATGCATGGTCTCAACCCTTATAGACAAAAAACTAACGTCATAAAATGCTCACCGCCTTGCAGTGGAACCCTCGCGAGCGGTTTGTGATGCCCCTTGAGTTTTGAACGTTTTTCGGACGACGTATACATTTTATGGTCATGCGAGGGTAGAGTAGACCATTGGAAAATGCGGTCGATTTGTTAAATATATATCTGTTGTTATTTACTACAGTTTGAAAGATTTTTCTTCTTTTTAGCTGAACATCACAGAGAACGAATGGTTTCAAAACGTCCTGAGTACGGACAGGTTTTCAAACTATCAAACGTACCACAAGTTTGGCAGACCAGTAGACAGACACCAGTAAGTGTCACTCACCGTGTCCGCTATCTAAACATTCTCGTCTCCAAAGCCTCCATTTTTGTTGGTCAGGCAGTCGGCGAAACTTAGCGACATTTTAAAACAAGTAGTACTGGAGATGAGAGTGTATGTATAGACAGGTCAGCAGACAATGTGATTGAGCCCGCGATTGAATTCTCCAGAGTTGTTGCTAAGGAACAGAAGTTCTGATTCAATTATAAAACTCGTTAACTTTATACACTTACGCGAAAATTCGTAAGGAAAAAAGTAGCTGTTCTTTGGTTACTTGTTCTTCAACTTTCTTCGTCTTCCTGCATAAAGCTACGTTGGAAGTAAAGAATATAAACGCGAAGTAAGACCGAAATTATTACGACAATGAAATCACTGTGCGTAAACGAAATTTAAAAAACGTTTTCTTTGTCTTTTTGACTACAGGTGGATCACAGTCCCACAACTGGTGAACGCGTTTTACGTCATAACTAAGAATGAAATAGGTATGAATATCTCAACTTGTTGAGCAGCAATGTTGCATTTAAGATCGAAAAACGATGTCCTGCCCGCGGGGGAGGGGGGAGGGGACTCCCATACAAAAAGGTCAGGGGACCTCGTCGGAAATTTTGATAAGAACCTCTAAGAGGTACCAAGGTCCTGTTTTGTGGGCGCAGCTTGAAATGTTCCCACCACTAAGAGGTCGGTACCAGTTCTAAAAGAACACATTATTGCCTGTCATATTTTTTCTCGGTTCAATACCCAAAAAGGTACCCCAAAAGCTCTCGCTGTGGACCTTTCAGGCTGAACACCCCAAGAAGTGCTAAAACCGCGTTTTTAACCCCTGAAATGTTCGACAGACACCCCCATCTATTTTATATGGGGTCCCCCTCCCGGGCCACATAAACCAGTGCATGAATGTTTCATGACGACTTCAAAATAAAGGCTCATTACTTTAATGTAATATCTATTTTGTCAGTAAATAGTAAGAGACGTTTATGTTTATCATGAAGGTGTATGCATACGCAATTAATCGTATTGAAAAAAAAAAAATACGATTGCATAGTATAACATATTTTGATGTGTCTCTTGTTTATCTCTACAGTGGTTCCAGCTGGTATTCTGCAGCCACCATTCTTTTATGCCAACGACATACCAAGGTAACAGATATTACCTAAATTATGAGCCATAATTTGGACATCGGTTGCTCAAAGAGTGGGTGGAGCTGTTCATCGGATAAGAAATAACAAAACTAGCTCCACTTTGTCCACCAGAGTAAGGGATGGACCATTATTTTTTTGAGGGGGATGGGGTGAGCAATTTTCTGGGGCATAAAATTTTTTCTCACCTTTAGGTTGTGCATGATTTGTTTGGGTGGGCAATAACTTGTGTAAGAATGTTTCTTAACATAAAAAATGCAGGACCTGGACAGCAGACAGCTCTTGCCCGATTTTTTTCCCATGGTTCCCTTTGCCCATTTTTTTAAAGCAGTTTTTGCTGTGCAGGAATGTTTTTCGGTAATTGCTCAACCACTCCTCGAAAAAAAATACGGTTCGGTTCCGTTCCTGTTGTGCTCTGATCCACTAGATGGTGATTTATCCAGTCATCCATTCTTTGATTCAACCAAGTCCAGGCCTCTACCTCGCGGACAGTCCGTATTCCTGGAATTTTTATGAATCATGTGTTCTTTCATTTCAGGTCTTTGAGTTATGGCGCCATTGGTCACGTGCTCGGTCACGAGCTTACGCATGGCTTTGATACGACAGGTGAGAATGTTCACGTGATAAGAGTGTGCCTCATCAGTAGTTCGTAAAATGTTCCTCGCTCAGTATCCATCTGCTTTGTCATTGAATTTGGACATCATAAAGAACACATTCTTTTTTATCGCTGTCAGGGAGAAAATTTGATAAGAACGGTGAGCTGATTGAGAAACGAACTCGCTGGAGCGAGCCTGCCATCAAGATGTTTCAAGAGAAAGCAAAATGTTTGGTGGAGCAATTTTCAAAATATAAAGTCCTCAATAAATTTCACGTGAGTATGAAACAGCGCCGTTGTTCTTTCTGTGCGTTCTAAGAAATGATACTACTACTACTACTACTACTACTACTACTACTACTACTACTACTACTAATAATAATAATAATAATAATTTTAATGACTTTATTTATGTGTCAATGAGATTTAGCATTGCTGCTAATCGGGGACATCTAAAAAGAGTTACAATTATCAGGGCTATGTGCATACTCAGACAATTACGTTTTTTATAGCCTATCAGAAGCAGTATCTAATTCTCACGTGACCTGGCAGCCGTTCGAATAAGTCAGGTTTCTTAGTAAAACACTTTATAGTGCACGACAATGGAAACATAATTTTCACGTAGTTATAATGGTGTTAATTCCATTAACATCTTAATCGTTGTACAACGTGCCTTAAAACTGTTAGAAGTTTATTCCGTTGGTACCTCGTTATATTCTTTTTAATTACCAGCACACTTTTGACAATCAAATTAGATCAACGGCCTCCAAACTCTGGAAGAAAACGTGGCAGACGGAGGCGGCCTGAGTCTAGCATATCATGTAAGATAGATCACGTGATGAACTGTCCTAGTTTATACTGTTCCTCTTATTAAATGAACAGATAAGTGGTGAGAAAACCCTTGGGGAGAACATTGCTGACTTAGGAGGAGTCAATCTGGCTTACCACGTAAGAACCATTCCTTATTTCGTCCCACACCTTATAAATCCACGTGTTCAGTCCCGAGGCCTTCGCGGTCATTCCGCCATCTTGAAACTGGGAACTAGCCAGAGCTCGTCAGCGCTTACCAGCGGTTGTTCCTTTAAATTCTACAAGGTTTCTAAACGATTTTCTGCTTCACACGCCTCCATCCCGTTCACTCGTCAAGCGAGTACACATGAGATTTAATAGAAGCTCGCTTTTCTAAATTACTCACTAATAAAGTAGTTTCTGCGTTTAAATCACAATCAGCTGTCTTCGTTCTCCCGCGTATCACTAACAAACTTGTATTGAAACCGCTTAGTCCCGAGCAATTTGCAGCAAGCGTTTGGTTAAGTTAACTTGTAAAAGCAGACGTTAAGTTATAAAAGAACCAAATGCAAACGTGTTTCTATTTTATCAATGTTCTATATGTCGTTTGAAGCGTCTAATTCGATGTTTTATTCCTCCCAGGCCTACAACGCGTTTATTGAGAAGAATGGTCCCGAGCAAGTCTTACCAGAGCTCAACATGACAAGCAAAGAGTTGTTCTTTATCGGATACGCTCAGGTAAACAACACAAAAATCTTATCGATCCTTCACTGTGTTTCACTTGATAGCCAAAGCAGAGCACTATGCATTGTTTGTTTGTTCCTTGTTATAATTCGGTTATTGCGGTTTCTATTTCGCGCTTATTTAGTGAACACTTTTCAAAATGGCGAAAGCCTAAACTACGAACTGGTCTATAGCTTTCTACAAGCCTTTACAGGAGGTTCCTGACCTTGAAAATTTAACCAAACCACCAGCTAGTGCTAATAACAATTGCTGCCTCTCGTCATCATCTTTTTCATATGTGATTGTTTAAAACGTTTCACTTGTAGAAAGAATGTACGCGGACCACCCCTGCTGCCGAATTCTTGTCAGTCACAGAGGATGTCCACGCCCTTACCAAGTACAGGTGAGTTGTACAAAACTCTCCCCCCACCCCTATACCTACCCTGTATGTGGAAAACAATTCTTCCTATTTCCCAGTCCACCACGATTCGGGTTATGTAAATGTAGCAGGTTCGTTCACTTTTAATAAGCAACGTTACAGTTACGTTCGTGCACTCTGTTCATCGCCGTATCCCTAGATCGTCCGGTAAATGTCGCCTTCCATCGTTTGTCTCGTATTTCCAATGTTACCGCTCTTAATATAACATGTTTGGACATTCTATTTTAGAAATCACCGGCAATGATATGAAGTTAAGTTTTTAACTCGTCCATAAATAAACCCCTTACGTCGAACAATTATTGCTGGTGTGTTGGTTACATACCTTGTACAGCAGACTTGAAACTTTGAGAGCTTTTCATTTGCGTCAAAAAACCTGGGAGAATTTTCCACCAAATGGAACAATACAACTTTTTCAACAAGCTTTTTCAACTTCATCTGTTTCATTAAATACTGCATTTGTAAACCTTCCAACGAAAAGGACTGTTCCATTTTATTTACCACCGGAACGACTGAGTATTTCATCAAGGAAATTGGGAATAGTGTGAAAAACCAAATGGTACTCAGGGATTTTCCGATCATTCCTGTAAAAAGAGGAACAGCTTGGAACGTATTTCTGTTTCAGTTTTCCCAAATTTTCTAGTGAAATGGTACGTTCTATTTGATTTCCCACTGGGACAACCGGTTTTCCATACAAAAGGAAGTTAAAGTGCTGTTAGTTCGTCTATGGTAGGGAGCGTACGAGCGTAAGAAAGGCAAAATTTGCGATGTGAAGTATTTTCCTCCATTCTTGATAACTTCTCTGATGAAATACTGTTTCACTCTATTTTGCAGGGTGATAGGCACCTTGTCAAACTTTCAAGAGTTTTCCGATGTGTTCAAATGCAAAGAAGGATCATACATGAACCCAAAGAAGAAATGCGAAGTTTGGTAAACACAACTAAGCTTCGTAAAGAACATGTGGACCTGCGGTCTAATAATCAATGAACTTATTTATTTTTCTATGAGCGTATTGATATTCTTGTTTGTTTTATTTGTAACAGTGATCAACTGTTACTTTCTCCATATTTTAGTTTATCATCAAGTGGGCGAGTGATGAGAATCAAGCAATCATCAAATACGAACATATCGCAATTAGTTGCTTTCATTTCGCCTCATAAAGACACTTTAAGAATAGATTATTTCCGTGGGCTCGAAGGAAGGCCTTTCTTGACCAGCAATATGCAATTAGAATTTCCTCAAGATAAGAAATTTAGTAACTTCCATGACAAGAGCCACTGTAGCTAGAAAGAACTTATAACACCGCTCGCCAACAGCCTTGTTTTGTTTGTTTGTTTGTTTAGTATTCCGAAAACACAATGTAAGGAATAAAATATGGCGCCTTGGGTCAGAAAAGTGTTGTATTTGAGGGCAGCTCAGTATTTTCGTTCGGCTGACAATAATAAAACTACCGTACAAATAACAACCAATATTTAAGCAAAAAGCCCTGGGAACGAGTTCGAAGAAATGGAGGAACATTATTACACAGACACTTACATTTTCACGGGTCATAATATCTTTCACAGCATCAGGCACCTTGTTCTTTACACTTGTAGGTTTTGTTGCTTTTTAAAGGCTAGTTAACGTTTGCAGAATTTTGGCAAATGAAAACATATAGCAAGTTAAGTTTAGCTAACTTTACAGAGAGTGAAATAACGTTGTGACTGAAATTAAAAGAAAATAAAGTAAAAATCGTAAAGCAAATCTTGCCATCATCCGTTTCTCATTGGATAGTTTCCCTTTGTCGTTTAGATGTTATTATTATCATTGATGGGACTTTGGTGTATTACGTTATCTTGCTTCCCTCTATTGTATCCATGGGAGAAGCAAGTGTAATCTAGATCGACGGGTCCTGGCGGGGATCAATAATTTGTATTTTGTCCTTCGAATTCACGAGCAAGACACTTGTTAAATTCTCCACTGATCCAAGTGAATAATGACACTTGAGCGGAGATGTTAATGCTTGTCTTGGAGCTAGAAGAAATACTCCTAGTCTTTTTATGCTGCGGGACCCCGCTCGCATTATATTTCCTGGCTGGCTGCTGGTTGCCCCCAGAAGCGCGATTTTCCATAAAGAAAGAAAAGACGGCGTTCGGATTACCTTGAGACTCCCCTCCCCTCCTCCAGAGACTGTACGGACGGACGGCCGACCGCTCGCTCGCCTGTAAAGTGACGTCAGAACGAAAGGTTCTCGGCTTGATCGTTTATTAAACCAAAAATTCTTGCCCATGGCCCTCCGCTGGCGCGAAAAAAGGTTCACTCGATCAGCCAAATTACCACTTGAAGACTCCAATCAAAATATTTAGAGCCTAGACTGTTCGAAGCCCTTTCCACTCCTTCCTTTTTCATTTCTTTGTAGGCTGTTTCAGCACTTTCATTACTGGAAGGTATTTTTTTTTGTCCAGGGTCTTTGATGGGATGTATTCGAACGAAGGATATTTTGAATCCCTTGTTCAACACGTTCCAAACCCGCTTTCATCTGCAAAGATCGCGTGTACACTTTCTCTGCTTTTCGGCGTTTAGGCGCGAGAGAAAACAAAATACCGATCTATTTCGAGCCTATCATAAATCATTCTTTGAAGTGGCCTTTGACGCGCAATTTGAAGAATCTCTTAGGTGACAACACATCAAAATCATCACGGAATGAATTAATGCACCAACAGTCTGTCGAGAATCTTCTGTTTTGACATTCTTCCGACCTGCTAATGTGTTTGTGGAACTTTGCATGTTGACACTAGCAAGTTGTTTTTGTAGGTATATCTTCTTTATTTTATGGTTTTGCTCCGATCCGATTACAGCAACTTCCGGTCGAATTCGCACCGATCGGTTATCGACTGAATAAATTATCCATCGGTATTACAGTAATGGCTTCCTGCCGGACAAGAAGCGAAGAAGAAACTCTCGAGCGTGAATAAATGGAATGTCAGATCAGAAGAGTAGTATGTGGAAAGAAATAACGGCGACATGTACAATTTCCCGAACGACTCTAGCAGGCCAAATATTCCTGTTCCTTCGCCTACCACTGCACGAAGCAAATTTAAGAAAGAAAGCGGTTACTATGTGGAAAGCTGGTCGTCTTCCCCGTTGACAAGAGAAACACTCAAGCGAAATGTGGAAGAAGGAGGCAAGCGAGAGGTAATAACAAAGTAAATTCTTCGATAAGTTTATACTCGTAATTCATTTTCTGTGCGTAAACGACGTTGCAGACAGATCCCCGTCGTGTTTTGTGTTTTTACGGTGGATAAACACGCATTGGAGCATGTTGTAGGAGGTTATTAAGCCAATACAGTATCTATCTTATGCCGAGTAATTTTCACACGTTCGGCGTAAAGATCTCTTAATTAAGCGGTTCATAGTCGAGAAAGTGATTTTTCTCCCAGGGTAACAAGACTTCAACGACAAACAAGCCAATATTTTTGCATTTTATGCTGCTTAAAACTCGATTAAAGGCGAGACACATTTTCTCTTGCAAGTATCTCCTCTTAGAGAGATTGATTGGAATTTTATTAGCGTTGACATTCTCGATTGTACTTGAAAATATATTTTGACAAGTACCTTCACTTGTTTATTCATATACTCGTAACGAGATCTTCTTGGAATCTTTATTTAAGAGTTCAGTATCAAAGCTTGTAAATGCTAATAAGCTTATGTAAAATCGCTTTGTGACTATAATGCAACAGATACAATATCATTTATTTTGAGCATTGCAGAGAAACTTCTTTCCGTCAATGTTGTTTCTTAAAATAACGGCATGTACAAAACCTCTCACTAACCTTTGTGAATGAAAAATTTGTACAGTTGTAAATAATTCAGGTAGGTGTCTATTTTAATGTGGATTTAATAGTGGTTTTGGCTAGCCATTTTATTGTGTATAACAATAGGGGTGAAATTTCAAGACCAAATGCTCTGTAGATGTCTTGAAAACTGATTTCAATATCGGCAAGGTTATTTCCTCTTTGTTAACCTATAACTTAATATTAGTTTATGCTAAACAGAACATAAGGATCTCAACAAGTCTCTTCTGTCATTCTTGCAAGTGAGTTATTCATATAATTTGTCACATATGCAAATAATTTGTTCATAACAAGGTCTCCAACTGCTTCATTGAGCATACATTCATGTAATTATTTCATTGCTGAATTCCTGCAGGTCATGTACAAGTGACCCACACAGTACATGAAATATGCATGAAAGCAGGCGGCTTAAACTTCTTGTCAGTTTTCCTTCCCTCAGTCAGCACAATTATTTTATACAAGGACTTGCCAGGTCTCAGTTTTAAAGCCCAAAAATTCATAAGCCAAAAAGACCTGGTTGCAAATTGTTTTGGGGAAATGCTATGATTTTTGTGAAGGGAAAAAAAAATTACAATTGGACACATGGATTTGTTGTGTTTATTCTTGCTGTTGTCACTGTAAAATGGTTGACACCTTTTAAAATTATGCCTAAATGTGCAGTTATGTGCAGTTGGTTACTACACATTAATTTGCAGTTGAAAATGCAAAGGGTCATCTATTGCCATGGAATAGAGTAACAAGCAAGTGATCATTTTGTATGAGAGATTTCAATCCCCTTTTAATATTTCATGATAATGTAATTGCCATGCTCCCCATATACAGCTTTTTAAAAGGTTTGTGTAGAACTATCAATATACTCTATTAGCATGGACTTTTAATATACAGTCAAAACTCTGTCAACACGCTTGTTAGTATACAGCTCTACATGTATACTTGTATATTCACTGTCACAAAAACAAACCATAATTTAACACAGCGGTTAGTGTGCTTTTTTTCTGCATGAACATTGTTAAATGTGGGCAGTGCAAGTTCCTGTGAGTGGCCACCCATTTTTAATGCTGCTAGTGCTTATGATGCTTATTCCCTTAAGCAGCCACCTCAAGTTAGGGAAGCTTTTTCTGCTTTCTGATGGTTCAGGCTTACGGAGGCTTTGAATATAATAATATACTATTGTGACATAATGTGCTTGGATAAGGAAAATGCAGAATATCCAATGTCTGTAAATAATAATTAAATTTCTTTTGTTCTTTTTTATGAGCTTTCCTTCTACTTAAATATTGCTACACAGTAGCAATAAAGTCGTTGTTTGAGGTCTAAATTCCACTGTTTCTATGTGATAAAACACAATGCACTTGATGATTCCAGTTTGCTTGCCTCAGTGTCAAATCTCTATACTCTGTGGATTTATTTTAAATAGAGTGTGTAAACTGCAGAGAGATGATAAAAGTTTGCAAATTTTGCTACTGATCTACCAGTCTGTTGAGAGATGATCTTACTGGGTGCAAAATACACTTATTAGAATTGGATCAGGGGAGTATACCCCTGCAGAAAAATTGGAATTTNCAGAATAGTCTAAGTTAAGTTAATTAAAAACTTCATGATAAATTTAAATCTGCATAGCTTGGCTTATCATACATCGAATTCATTTTGTCTTGTATTAAATAAATGGTGATTATGTATCATTTGCAGTATATTGGATGTCACTTCATTAACTTAAGGTTGTTATTTGATTCCAAAATTTAGAGGGAGATATTAACAGTCATTAAGAAAGAAATTAAAATAACCAAACTGAGTTAAATTATTTTTCAAAGAATGAAAGAGTCTTTGAATCAACCATAAGCTAGTCAGAATTTGTTGCTTTTTGTTTTGGCAGTCTGTTACAGTAAAAGTTGTCCAAGAAATTTCATAATCTTGTTTTTGCATTGCCTATAATTATTAATGTTAGTGATCACTTATTCTTGCATCTCTACCGGCCGGTTGGTTCTCGTGAAATCCAAATCTGTTGGTAGTGAAGAGAGGCTGCTGTCTTCACACTCTGTTCTTCTTTAATTATTGTAGAGAAGGTTGTTAGTAATATTGTTTTCCATCATTCCATGGCATGACACCCCTTTCCAATTGTGAAACTTGTTTTACTCTATTTGAATTGCCTTGGAGTCATGAAGCAAAGTGGGACATTTTGTTAATTATGAATTAAGTAAAATTAATAAAAACTGAAATATTTCCTCAACTATAAAATGTTTAGTTCTGCATCAGTTTTTTTTCAGAATTTGATTCTTGAGCCACTGTTTTCATAGCCTTGTTTGATTTTTGGTAGAGACTTAAAGAACTGTTAACATTTCAGCCTATAGAAGAAATCTACAAAGATTCCTAAGGAACTTTTCAATAGCCACTTCACAGCTGTCACATTTGTGCTATTTTTAACTTGGATCCCAGTGACTCAGCTCATTTAATCACTGTCATGTTTTCATAGTACTTGTATCATGTAATCATGATTTTTGTGTCTGGTGCTTTGTGTCTAGACTTCTAGATACTACAAAGCTCAAACTCCCCAAAAAATCGTCAGAACATTGTTTCTCTATTAAGCAATGTTTCCCCATTAAATTGAAGGACACATGCCAAAATACAATAAATTTCTTTTGACTCCCTCCTCTAATCGTGACTAAAAAAATCAAAGGAATTTGTTGATCATCATCATGAATGGAGATCAAAGTCATTGAACTAAACATGTTGTGTACCAATTCTGACAATTCTTGCTAACTGATCCATTATTAACTATAGACACATCTCTGTTGGCAATAATAATTATTTTCCCATCAAAATAAGTAATAAATTCAAAGTAAGTCAGAGGGACATGGCTGAGAAAACACTCAGCCAGCCCATTAACAGGGCCAGCTGTCTTTTCTGACCTTGGCAGCTCCAGACTTTTGATTTTGTCCGAGGTTTCTGCCAGTGTTAGGTTCTCTTCCAGCTGGTGAAATTAGCTGGCAATTAAAACCCTTAGCAACATCCCTGAAGTCAAGCAAATCAGTGAGGAAAAGGTAGATTTTGTGTTTGTCCGTTTGTTTCTATTGTAGCTGGTGAAACTCTGAAATTCAATGAATCTCCAACAACCTATGCAGCCAAGAAGGAGAATGTGGATCACGTTCTGCACTTTATGGCAGCCCAGAGAATCAGAATGAGACAGATCTCCTCGAAAGGTAAAAATGTGTGGTCGTATAATTATTTACAGCTCTCAGTCAATCTGTCAGTCATTCGTTCAGTCTGTCTGTCTGTCTGCCTGTCTGTCTGTCTGTCTGTCTGTCAGTCAGTCAGTAGGGAGACATCAGTCAGTCAATTAATCAATACGTCAGTCAGTAGAGTCTTGGTTGCTTCATCAGTGTGTTGGTCAGACAGTCAGTTAGGTTGTAAATAAGTGCCTGTTGGTTATCTGGTCAGTCAGTCTGTCATGTCATTCACTCAGTTAACTACGGGGTGCAAAGAACATTTTTTCCAGCTTGTCCTTGGGGCAAGCTGTGACCAGGATGTACCAGTCCCATAGTCATTGTCACTAGCCTGGAAAAAAAACTCTCACTAACACAACTGATTATTAAATTAATTCAATAATTGAAATTAAAACAATTATTATTTTGATCTCTCACATTACTTGAATTTTCTCACATTTTACCCCACCTGCCCCATAGCCAAGTGAAGGATAGCATCCACTAGCTCAACCACAAGCTCCAGGCNAAGCAGAGATAGCATAATAAGGTGTTGTAACATTGCATTCCTGGATAGTACAAGAGACGGAAATTTCTCAATGAGAAGTGCCGGATTTTTTCTCAAAATTGACTCTTCACATGAAAAAACATTTAAAACATGGGGTAAGTTTCTGCAGTTACCATATGCTAATGAGGCAAAGTTTTGACCCAATATGATCTAAGCCCTCATAAGCGAACACCAAGGATTGACATTTTGGATGGTCGCTTACAGGAGGTTTAACTGTATTCATCTCTCCCAGAAAGATTAATTTCTTTCATTGGTGTTTGTAGAAAAACATCTAAGATTGCCCATAGTACTCCAAAGATTGATCGTCACCCTGTGGACGTTAGTCCAGGAACCAGTCCCACACTGTCTGCATCGCCACTCAACACACCATTACACAGAACACCAGTGAGGAAGATAAGTCGGCCATCTAGTGCAGAGTCCTCTAGACGTGACAAGGACAATGGGTCAGATGGTTCAAATGTTAGTAGTGGCGGCACTACTCCAAGACTACCTCACAGAGATCTAGAGCTACTTCAATCTGCATCTGATTCAGAATCTGTTTCCTTTAAAGATCCTGGAAAGACTAATAATAATAATGCCAGTACGTTTCCAGATTTAGAGTTTCTTCGTGAAGTAACTGAAGGGTATGATAGTATGGAAGAGGACACAAATAGTGCAAAGGAAATGCTGCTACACCTACAGAACTTGGTGAGTTCTCTCAGGTTTCAAAAGTGATCAAAATATGATTTCTCTGTACCATGTCAACACATGGCCAACAATTAGGCCTGAGAGTAAAGAAAATTGTCAACTTACTGAAAAATGAAAAAAGGCTTAGTCTAGATCATGCTTTATTCTGTTGTAAAGCAAGCGAGGAAATACGAGAGCACAAAAGAAGTGTAGGAAGAAGCATGAGCTGCAGCCAAATGTTGACATGTGTTTTGGGGAAACAGTTAACGTGCCCAAGTGTGTTGTCATGTGGGATTTTTTTAAGATCAAGAAAGAAGGGCATTGAGAAGCAAAAGGTGCATATGAGTGCTTCTCGCACTTCAGTTCTAAGTGTTCTAAAAAATGCTCCTGTTCTGAAAAAATTCTCCTGTTCTGAACAGAAAGTGTACACGCTTGCTTATACTTGTGATGTAATGCAAGTTAGTTGATTTAGTGAGCCCTTACTCTGGGCATCACCCTATCCCAGGGGGGAGGAGGGGTAGAGACTTCTAAATCAGAACCAAAAATAGAGAGAAAATGCAAAAATAAAATCATAAAAAATATATTCTAATTAAAATCAGATATCCAAACACTGTCACAGGTTTAAACTTGATGAATTATTTGTGAGTTTGAGAAGTTCGATTCCTGCACCCAGCATCAAAGACAATGTTTAGATGAGGCACATCTCCATATTTTGGGGTTGTTTTTACAGTTACTGAATGGCAGAGTGGAAGACGACGAGATTCCTGAAGAGTACTGTGGGCTTGAAGGTTCCACAGTTCAGGAACAGCTTACTATAGTGAGCAGTCGACTTGATCAGAGAGAAGCTGAATATGACAGTCTGAAAGCGGAACTCAACAAAACCAAGGAGGAGTGTATCAATCTTCAAGGTTTGTTCTTATGTACTGGACAACCCATCGAAGGCAGGGGGGACTCCGAAGTCAAAAGGTCAGAGATGCTCGTGATCTCTCTTAGGGGTGTCAATCACGGTTTTTGGGCTAGCCATCAAGGTATCAGGGTTACTCTTGAAGAAAAAATAAACAACGCTGCCATGTCCATTTTAAAATGGTATTTTTTAGGGGTCAAATACAGCTCAAGCCAGGCCCATATTAGTCTACTTTAAGGGTTTAATTCAAATTTTTTGATGGGCATCCCTGACCTTTTCACATGGGAATCCACCTCCTGGGACTGGACAAGAGGTATTGAGAACTAAACAGCATGGAGTAGTCAGCTCCTTACTAAGAAGATGACGGATGAGAATAATGGAACTCATTGCAACTTGTTATTATGTCACCAGGCATCAAGGCTGGTCTGTNCAGTCCTCTTGATCTTGAGTTCAGTGCACTATCTGTTGACCCACAATAGCTTGTAGTCGACTATGGGGTTGAGAGTAGAGTTCACTTTCTTTTCTGAGTAGGGATGTTCCTGTTTTAGATTTTGTTGCAATTAATTTACCATCAGCAAACATCTCTTTTGTTTTTTCGTTATTACAGGCGGGACCTGGCAGACAAGTAGATGATACCATTATAATTGAATTACAACAGAGAATAAGAGATCTCCAGGAGAAGCTTGATTCTGTTGGTTCATATGAGGTAAAAACAAACATAACAACTTGCACGTGTTCAATACATTTTCTCTAAATTCTTTATACAGTAGTATAACTTGCAGTTATGAGAATATATATGTTTTTAGTAATTTGAAACTATTAATATTTTTAGTAATTTTGAACATTTTGATGCTAGGTGATTTGTGTAACTGTGAGTATGTAATTGTGATTTTATTTTCAAGTATGTAGCCAGGTAAAGACATTTTATAGCTTATAATTTACAAATAGTTATTAGGAGGCAAAGAGTCACCCTGTGGAAGTACTACTAATAAAGTCATTATCATTATCATTATCATTATCAGTATCAGTATCAGTATCAGTATCATCATTATAAGAATGATCATGATCATGAAAAAAGAAGCCTTGATCTTTGAACTTAATTCTCCCAACAAATACAATAAATAGAGAAATTCTTAATGAAGGATACTTTTAATTATTAATTAGTTTATGATGAAAAAGTGGTTTGGCTTATAACATTCATCTTTCTGACTGATACTAGGCTACCCTGTCAGCTCGAATTTCCACGCAGGATGAGAAGATGGCATCGCTAGAGGACAAGATTTTGAATCCACAGAATCTACAAAACTCTGCTGTCGTTTCTCATGGACTGAAGGTGAGCTTATCATGCAGTTAGTGATTACTCATAACATACTACATGTTCAGAATTTATAATAACCTGAATGTGTTTTATCTGTCATTGCCAGAGATCAGAAGAAATGGAGGTTGTACGAGAAGCTATTGAAAGTCTGCGGAGCTGTTTNCAGAAGTAGAACAACTGCAGTATCAGCTTGCCGAGAGGGACAAGGAAGTGTCCGCTCTTCGTAGTGAACTGGTACGCAGAGAGAAGACAGTCGATAAACAGAGGGTGGAGCTTGAAGATGCTATGAGGCATATTGAGGAACTTCAATTTGCACAGGTTTGTGGTAGTACATGTGGATTTCTGGGTCATGAAGAAACTACAGTTATGAGTATCTCTTCTCTCCCTGGTTGGAATTTAAGTTGATATATTTTGGACCTTGATAATTCGAACTCGGTTATTTCAAATTCCCCGTTTCTTTGAACTCAAAACCCTTTGAGTTCTTACCTTTCAGTCGTTTATTACATTGGCTATTTTGAACCCCCCTTTTTCGAACTAATTTTTGTTTCCCATAATCGAGAGTTTGAAATATTTTAGCAGGGTTCAACTGTAGTTAAATTTAAGGTGATAGTCCATTACAGTTCGCTGCCAGCATTTTTCTGGTTGTGCAGATCTCTAACCAGGGTGCAAGGCGACTTACTGTGTTTCATTTTAAATAAATATGGCATTGAGCCCTGGCCATGGTCACTGTGAGTGTTCTTGGGCAACAGACTCTAAAGTCATAGTCCCTCTCTCTAACCATGTATATCAATGAGTAACAGTGAATTAAACACTAATGAATGCAATGAACTAGCATCCCATCAAGGGGAGGGAGTGAAGTACATTGTACTCCTTGGCTAGTCACTTTGTGGTACTGAAGTCAGACATAAGCAATTGTGCAAAGGGCCATTAGGTTAGAAAGCACTTGATCTTTATATTTAATAAACACCAGAGATGATGATCCTGAGAAGCACTGAGACCAGGAGTAAACTGACTTGCCCTTTACCCAACACTTGAACGCAGTCCTCTTGATCTTGAGTTCAGTGCACTATCTGTTGACCCACAATAGCTTGTAGTCGACTATGGGGTTGAGAGTAGAGTTCACTTTCTTTTCTGAGTAGGGATGTTCCTGTTTTAGATTTTGTTGCAATTAATTTACCATCAGCAAACATCTCTTTTGTTTTTCCGTTATTACAGGGAGGACCTGGCAGACAAGTAGATGAGACCATTACAATTGAATTACAACAGAGAATAAGAGATCTCCAGGAGAAGCTTGATTCTGTTGGTTCATATGAGGTAAAAACAAACATAACAACTTGCATGTGTTCAATAAATTTCCTCTAAATTCTTTATACAGTAGTATAACTCGCAGTCATGTGAATATATATATTTTTAGTAATTTTAAACTATTAATATTTTTAGTAATTTTGAACATTTTGATATTAAGTGATTTGTGTAACTGCGAGTATGTAATTGTGATTTTATTTTCAAGTACGTAGCCAGGTAAAGACATTTTATAGCTTACAATTTACAAATAGTTAGTTATTGGTAGGGAAAGAGCCACCCCATGGAAGTACTACTAATAAAGTTATTATCATTATCATTATCATTATCATTATCATTATCATTATCATTATCATTATTATAACAATGATCATGATCATGAAAAAAGAAGCCTTGATCTTTGAACTTAATTCTCCCAACAAATGATGCAAAATGCACAGAGTAACCTTAAGGAACTTGAAGAATAAAATACAATAAATAGAAAAATTCTTAATGAAGGATACTTTTAATTATTAATTAGTTTATGATGAAAAAGTGGTTTGCATTATAACATTCATTTTTCTGACTGATACTAGGCTACCCTGTCAGCTCGAATTTCCACGCAGGATGAGAAGATGGCATCGCTAGAGGACAAGATTTTGAATCCACAGAATCTACAAAACTCTGCTGTCATTTCTCATGGACTGAAGGTGAGCTTATCATGCAGTTAGTGATTACTCATATGTGCATACTACATGTTCAGAATTTATATCTAATAACCTGAATGTGTTTCGTCTGTCATTGCCAGAGATCAGAAGAAATGGAGGTTGTACGAGAAGCTATTGAAAGTATGCGGAGCTGTTTTAGACCACATGATCCACATCACCACACACTGGACACATTAGAACAGGTAACAATCAGTTCCAAACATTGGACGCATATGATGTGTATTACCTCCCTAGCAAATGTGTGATATCTTACAAGTACGTACAATGTACAGCAACTAAAATGTCCAATGAGGCAATATGTATAATTATTTATTATTTTTGTGACTTTGTTTGCAGAGTATTATTGCAGTCCATTCTTCAGACCACCAGGCCAGTTCCTTTGATTCTGATACTGAGAGTGTTAATATAAAGGCAAGTGTAGTTTAAGAGTAATTCAAGTCATGAATTTAGCATTGGCCATATTTTTCATTTACTTTAATTTGTCCAATTTCCATTGGCTATGCTCATCACCTGACGTAACTAATTGATAACATTGATGACATCAGTGAAATCAATGAGTAATCAATTTATGAGTAATCAGTAGCATCAATGAATAATCAATGACATGCGTAGGTGAGTAGAGCTGTCAGTTTCAAGTGTCTTAAAATGAAACCAAAGTAATCACTCTAGCCAATCACAAAGAACACAAACAACACAGTGGACCAATCAATGACTTATCAGTTGATTACTCAGTGATTACCCATCAATTACTCACTGACCTTATTGATCATTAATTGGTTACTTTTGGTCCTCAGTTTATACCTTGAAATGTTTTGTAAATTAATGTTGTAAGCCCTAACTAATGACAACTTAAATTGTATCATTCTCTAGTTAGCAGTAAAAGAGTTCTAGAGTTTTTAGAATATATAAATTTGACATCTGAATAGATAAAAATGAACTACCTGTATTTTATGGTACATGTATTACAACTCTCAGATTAAGAAGCTTTTGTTGTTTAACAGGGTGTGAATGGATTTGATCATAGCAATGGATACAATAGCAAATCGCTCCCACATCAAAGACATTTAGGTATATACGTGTGTGATAAAGATTGCAACTTTACTAGCCCGTAAACCTTAGAAAGAAAGCTCATAATAATATACTGTTAGCAGTTAGTGCAAAAGATTGAAATATTAAGTGTAATTTGCCTTGCTTTGGTAAGCATATCACCTGTGATCAGTAAATGTGGGCTTATGTGTGAACTTGTGTATAGTTGTACAACTGAACCTGAGTACTTTTTATTCTGGTTAAAGGAGCTCAGTCATGGTATTTTGGCCATGTACAAAATTACTCTTGAATTGAAGAAAACCTGAAAATAGTAGTTTACTAAGATAGAAAAACACCAAAGAGATAATAATAAACCATAAAAGAACAAAGATGGTTAAAGATGGAGAAGATTAACACAGATTACAAAGGACTAACTTGAAAAATTTAGGCTAAGCTTTTCAAGATGAGTTAACCATGACTTAGCTCTATTAAGAGATTTTATCCTCATTTTCAAGATTGTGCTTCTAACCATCTCTTAGGCAACTCTAGTTGAATTTACTTTCTAAATGTATGTCAACTTTTTTTTTTCTGTTTTCGTTTTCCAGATGGTAATGCTAAAGACACTCATGTAATTAGCACCAAAGTACTTTATTTTACAGAGAAGACAGTCACTCCTTTCCTTACATCAATTCCGAGAAGGTATTATTAAACGCTATTTTTGATGATTTCAATACATTTTGTTTGATTTAACTTATCAAAATCCAAGGAAAGTAGAGGGTCCATTTGACATAGCAAAATGGCCATCAGAAACAAATTAATGTGAAATTAGTTAGCAAGGACAAACCTTTTTTCATTATCGTGAGAGGTGGACAATGTAAATCTCCAAAAATTTAGTGATACAGTAACAGGTCAGCTGAAGAAAATTTCAGTCTCAAGAAATGAAAATTTTAATTGTTGTGCATAGGTATCAAATTCTCTGTGCCATCAGACTTCTCCCCAAATTATAAATAATTGTGATATTATTTGCAATGGACGATTTTCTCATCAGCTTACTGTATTATTTGTGGTTTGCAGATTAGGAGAAATAACTTTAGGAGACTTCAAAGAAGCAATTGACAGACCTGGATTATATCGCTACCACTTCAAAGCATTAGATCCTGAGTTTGGAACGGTTAAAGAAGAGGTACATAGCTATTAGTTAGCCCATGGGAGTCCAGATAAAGAGGCCGCATTTGAATCCTGGCCAGGGACTTTGTGCTGTGATTTTGGGCAAGACACCAAAATCTCACTATACATGTACATCTATCCACCCAGAAGGGATACACTGGTACAACTGTTAAATGCAACCCAATGAAATTTTAGGGTGTACATTGTGATGGTCTTGGATCCCACCCTGGGGAATAGAATTATGCGTGGGTGTTTCATGTCACAGAATGGGGGAAAGAGTCAATACTAAAGACTTATTCTTAGAGTTTACCTTAAGTACCTGACCAAAGTTTTGTTTTTGTTTGACAGGTTATTGATGATGGTGACATTGTGCCTGGCTGGGAAGGAAAGATTGTAGCATGGGTGGAAGATGATTCAGGACAAAAAGTTCTTTCTTATCAAGAACAAATGGCCTGACACAATGAATGCCATAGAAAAAAACTAGAATAAGTTATTATTGAATTACAAATGCTCAACACTTTCCAAAAGAGACCTGCTGTTAGGGTCCCTGACAAGTGATGGGCCCCAGAAAGTGGTTCTTTTTCTTCCCTGTCCTCCAAAATGTAGTACCATAATGGGTCTCTTGAGGGTAGGTCACTTTTGTAGGAGTTCCCCATTAGTAAGCCCCCACAAATGGGTCCTTTTCTGCCAGTGATCCATAATAAGCCTTTTTCACACNAAACCAAAGTAATCACTCTAGCCAATCACAAAGAACACAAACAACACAGTGGACCAATCAACGACTTATCATCGATTACTCAGTGATTACCCATCAATTACTCACTGACCTTATTGATCATTAATTGGTTACTTTTGGTCCTCAGTTTGTACCTTGAAATGTTTTGTAAAGTAATGTTGTAAGCCCTAACTAATGACAACTTAAATTGTATCATTCTCTAGTTAGCAGTAAAAGAGTTCTAGAGTTTTTAGAATATATAAATTTGACATCTGAATAGATAAAAATGAACTACCTGTATTTTATGGTACATGTATTACAACTCTCAGATTAAGAAGCTTTTGTTGTTTAACAGGGTGTGAATGGATTTGATCATAGCAATGGATACAATAGCAAATCGCTCCCACATCAAAGACATTTAGGTATATACGTGTGTGATAAAGATTGCAACTTTACTAGCCCGTAAACCTTAGAAAGAAAGCTCATAATAATATACTGTTAGCAGTTAGTGCAAAAGATTGAAATATTAAGTGTAATTTGCCTTGCTTTGGTAAGCATATCACCTGTGATCAGTAAATGTGGGCTTATGTGTGAACTTGTGTATAGTTGTACAACTGAACCTGAGTACTTTTTATTCTGGTTAAAGGAGCTCAGTCATGGTATTTTGGCCATGTACAAAATTACTCTTGAATTGAAGAAAACCTGAAAATAGTAGTTTACTAAGATAGAAAAACACCAAAGAGATAATAATAAACCATAAAAGAACAAAGATGGTTAAAGATGGAGAAGATTAACACAGATTACAAAGGACTAACTTGAAAAATTTAGGCTAAGCTTTTCAAGATGAGTTAACCATGACTTAGCTCTATTAAGAGATTTTATCCTCATTTTCAAGATTGTGCTTCTAACCATCTCTTAGGCAACTCTAGTTGAATTTACTTTCTAAATGTATGTCAACTTTTTTTTTTCTGTTTTCGTTTTCCAGATGGTAATGCTAAAGACACTCATGTAATTAGCACCAAAGTACTTTATTTTACAGAGAAGACAGTCACTCCTTTCCTTACATCAATTCCGAGAAGGTATTATTAAACGCTATTTTTGATGATTTCAATACATTTTGTTTGATTTAACTTATCAAAATCCAAGGAAAGTAGAGGGTCCATTTGACATAGCAAAATGGCCATCAGAAACAAATTAATGTGAAATTAGTTAGCAAGGACAAACCTTTTTTCATTATCGTGAGAGGTGGACAATGTAAATCTCCAAAAATTTAGTGATACAGTAACAGGTCAGCTGAAGAAAATTTCAGTCTCAAGAAATGAAAATTTTAATTGTTGTGCATAGGTATCAAATTCTCTGTGCCATCAGACTTCTCCCCAAATTATAAATAATTGTGATATTATTTGCAATGGACGATTTTCTCATCAGCTTACTGTATTATTTGTGGTTTGCAGATTAGGAGAAATAACTTTAGGAGACTTCAAAGAAGCAATTGACAGACCTGGATTATATCGCTACCACTTCAAAGCATTAGATCCTGAGTTTGGAACAGTTAAAGAAGAGGTACATAGCTATTAGTTAGCCCATGGGAGTCCAGATAAAGAGGCCGCATTTGAATCCTGGCCAGGGACTTTGTGCTGTGATTTTGGGCAAGACACCAAAATCTCACTATACATGTACATCTATCCACCCAGAAGGGATACACTGGTACAACTGTTAAATGCAACCCAATGAAATTTTAGGGTGTACATTGTGATGGTCTTGGATCCCACCCTGGGGAATAGAATTATGCGTGGGTGTTTCATGTCACAGAATGGGGGAAAGAGTCAATACTAAAGACTTATTCTTAGAGTTTACCTTAAGTACCTGACCAAAGTTTTGTTTTTGTTTGACAGGTTATTGATGATGGTGACATTGTGCCTGGCTGGGAAGGAAAGATTGTAGCATGGGTGGAAGATGATTCAGGACAAAAAGTTCTTTCTTATCAAGAACAAATGGCCTGACACAATGAATGCCATAGAAAAAAACTAGAATAAGTTATTATTGAATTACAAATGCTCAACACTTTCCAAAAGAGACCTGCTGTTAGGGTTCCTGACAAGTGATGGGCCCCAGAAAGTGGTTCTTTTTCTTCCCTGTCCTCCAAAATGTAGTACCATAATGGGTCTCTTGAGGGTAGGTCACTTTTGTAGGAGTTCCCCATTAGTAAGCCCCCACAAATGGGTCCTTTTCTGCCAGTGATCCGTAATAGGCCTTTTTCACACCCACCAAACAAGATCCCCAAGAAGGGTCACTTTTTTGCATGAAGGTCGCTACGAAAGAAGGATAATAACAAGAGTAGGAAAAAGGATTGCCTCTTGGTTATCGCCTTATTAGACAATCATAGACAGCCATACTACACACCTGTCTATTGAATAAGAGATTTATCAACCAGCTGGGTTCAGTCCCTGAAAAGTGTGACTTATACTTAAGAGCTGTGGACACTTTTGGTTTCCATGGAAACTAACTAGTCAACCCAACAAAATAACTTATTACATGTTTACCAATATCATCTAGTATTTGTGGACGTGATAAACGAGTGAAGTTGAATAATTACAAGGACCTACATTCATTTGGTACAGAACCTCCAGACATGGCGAAAACAGTCATGTGTCTATTAAACAAAGTAAATAAATGTTTTATTGTGTTGTGGCCCAAGAACATAAAATGTGCATTTATTGGGATGAACAGCTTGTCCAGTGACAAGCATAGAATGTATTATAAGTTGCTAAATAGAAGAAATGATAATTATTATTATTATTATTATTATTATTATTATTAACTTGTACATGTAAATAACAGCATACATCATGTCAGAGAGGGTGCAAAATATGTGATATATATATTTTTATTTCAAGTCTTTTCAAGAGTTGTATTGAGAAATTTTTGAGTACAGGTGCCATACCATTGACCTAGGATCCTTGAATGAAGACAAAAAAACATAGAAGCGTACAGAGTGGAACTGAAATTAGAGTGTTTTTGCATCATCTTGAATGCACCTAAAATTAGTCATCAAATTAAAATTTGTCATACCCAAGATTGTTGCCATTATTTTAATAAATCTCTGAATATTTGGAATGCAAGAACACCCAACACAGGTTAAGGTTAGTTTGTGATTAGTTCTATGGTGACTTTTGGGGCTTGTTATCGGCTTTTTATCCTCTGCCCATTCCAGGTTTTTCTATGCTATTCAAACGTTGGTTTAGTTCTAGCCAAGATTATTCAAGATGGAACTTTGAATCACAAACGATGAGCAATAGCGAGCTACATCTATGAGTTGAACAGCAAGTCAGTGATTCAGAGAGCTTATAAATTATCTTTATGTGTATTGAGACAATAGCACTTAAATTTCATTCACCATCATTGTCACTTTAGTTGTTATATTTATTATTTATACTTACATTTAATTATTTTAATAAAGCTTTGTAATATAAGAGGTTGCAAAGTGTCTGCTCTAACAAGACTTGTTTTGGGAATAATGCAAATTGCTGTCAATTTCCATGATTGAAGGGCTGGGAGTCAAAACTACCATAGGTTGACTTTGGGTTGTCTCAATTCTTGTCCCCAGAGGCTGTGCTCCTTTTGTTCAGCACCTAGAATCACAACCTCTGGCCTGACCCAATTTTTTGACCATGCGTGGAGCATTCGTCCTGTATTCTAAGCCAATCAGATTTGTCAATTTGATGGGAAGTCCTTGCATCGCGGACTTCTGGTGTGGGCCCAGTCAGGTCGCAATTCTTGCTGCTGACCAAAAGGAGCGTGGCCTCTGGGGACAAGAATGGTTTGTCTCTACTTTTTTTCTTATATTTTCCAAAAGTTCAAACTAGAAAAAATATGGGTATTGGGCAATGGTTTTAAAATCAGCAAAAGGTGGTTTAATGCCCCAGCATTTCAATCATAGGTTTTGTGATAATTTACAAGTAAAAGATATTTTTCGGTAATTTTTCAAGGAATCCAAGAGAATCTTTTTTTTTGTGGTGAGATTGAGGATGGTTAAATAAGTTTCATTGGCAGACAGTGTGACTCTAAAAGCTTTTGTTAGAATTGTCACTTTCTGTTAATTAGTGCTTATCCATAGGTAGATTTGTTAGGTATGTTGTAACTTACTTGTGTCTGTTATTTTCTGGCATATTGTAAATTTGTAGACATTTATTTTGAAAATTAGAATGCACATTTCACAAAGATGTAGATATTTATTGTGTGAAGAAAAGCATTGGATGTAATTAAATGGCTGTTTTGCAAGACTGCAGTGTGCCTGTATTCTTTTGTTCTCAAAGGGGCTACGTCACAGTTTGCACATCTTTAAAAGTTCAGCCTAAATTTGTCAAGTTTGTCGTTTGTAATCCATGTCAATCCTCTCAATCATTGATCCTCTATTTTTTTTATAATCTTTTTGGTGTTTTTCTATCGAAGTAAATTATTTTCAGGTTTCCTTCAATTTTAAGGTAATTTTGTGCAAGGGCAAGATAACTTAAAATACTGTGGCAGAACCCCTTTAAACAATGAAGATTAGAAAGCACCTTAAAAAGAGACCTAGCACTGTTAAAAGCCTTACCTGTAAAACTAGGTAAAGCACAGAATGAGTGGGAGCTGCTGATGTAATGATTGCACAAGCAAAGAGAATTTACTTTTTGATAATTAAAATAAATGAGTGATTTTCCTTTTGAGGGTACCATGGCAAATTTAGGACTTAGAAAAAGCTGACGCTTTGAAAGTTGTTGTTTGTTTGAGCAAAATACTTTCTAACCAAGTCATTTGTATGAGAAATTCATAGACCAAAGGTTTATTAACCAACTGAACAAAAAAAANAATCCATGTCAATCCTCTCAATCATTGATCCTCTATTTTTTTAATAATCTTTTTGGTGTTTTTCTATCGAAGTAAATTATTTTCAGGTTTCCTTCAATTTTAAGGTAATTTTGTGCAAGGACAAGATAACTTAAAATACTGTGGCAGAACCCCTTTAAACAATGAAGATTAGAAAGCACCTTAAAAAGAGACCTAGCACTGTTAAAAGCCTTACCTGTAAAACTAGGTAAAGCACAGAATGAGTGGGAGCTGCTGATGTAATGATTGCACAAGCAAAGAGAATTTACTTCTTGATAATTAAAATAAATGAGTGATTTTCCTTTTGAGGGTACCATAGCAAATTTAGGACTTAGAAAAAGCTGACGCTTTTAAAGTTTTTGTTTGTTTGAGCAAAATACTTTCTAACCAAGTCATTTGTATGAGAAATTCATAAACCAAAGTTTTATTAACCAACTGAACCAAAAAAAAACCTTTATTTTTTTCTGGCTCATAGACAATACATAAAGTTGAATCTATGTGCGTATGTATCTTTTTTAATATTAATATTTTTAAACCAGTACAAAATGTTCATTAAAAAATGAATAAATATTACAAACTGATGTTTATACATAATATTGAATCCCAACTATCGACAATAATTTACTTATTAGTGCTTCTTATCAATATGTTATGTATACTCAAGTCTCGGATGCCTGGAAAAAAATAATCATCCCCAAACATGGAGGCATCTGCTCTCTCATATGAAACATACATGTATCTTGCGCAAAATTTCCTTACATTTTTCAAGCTATCACCTCTATGTGGTACAGGTTCGGGTACATTCTAAGCCTGCACACAGGCAACAGTTTAGTATGGCTGCTGTTTTGGGAGTATTTTGAAAGCTTGTTTATAATTAACCAGCAATGAAGACCTATTTGTATTTTGCCCCAAGCACTTTCATGACATATTTGTGTTAATCATGCCAAAAAAATTCATCATCATTAAATCTTTCTGTTTTGGTGGGAGCATGCCTCTTTACAGTCTAGTTCTGGCCTTCTCTGTCAAGCAACACTACGCTCTCAGGAGAGAGGCTTCTATCCCAAGAGCATAGCTTTGTGTGAGAGAGAAAGGGCCAGGACTGGACAAGCCTCTCTATTTTTATTAGCTCTGTCCCCAGGTACAACTTACTCCTTCTAACATACAATATTCCTGCTTTCCTTACTTAGGGTATTAACAGCTAACAGCAGCCTCCCTGCTTGTAACTGAATCGATGTTATCACCCATTCAATCTTCATTGCTCTTTCTTATTAGCTCTTCCTCACCTCGTGTACTTGGCCACTAAAATCCCGCCCAAGGTGGATCAGAGACAATGAGTTAATATGACCAAATCTTGAAGCTTGTGCCCAGGTTGAATACCAGG